TAAAAAAATCTCAGCAGCTTTCATATTTGAACTTGTTATAAATGGCGAGGACAAATTGATTAATGCAACAATTAATTTAGCTCAACCGCCTTAAAATAATTAATTAACTTTTACGATAGTCTCAAACTCAAATTTCATGCTAGCCCAAAGTACTATTTTAAAACAACTGACGGGCCAGATTAAAAAAAAATTAATTAAATTTTTTTATCAACAAAATAAAAAATAATTAATTAAGTATTTACTAAAACATACATAAACAATAACAGAAACGCAAAGGAAAAAATAAGTTTATATGCTCGACCTGAAATCTAATGTTTGATGCTTGCAAGATATTTTTGTTGGTTATACAGACTTTGTAAATCAAACATACTGGCAGATCAATACAAAATTTTCAAACCGTCTGTATTTCAATTACATAATTAGTTTAATAATTTATTAAATCGCTTACTTAAAATTAAACAAAAGTACACTAATTGCGAAAGCCGTTTACAGAAAACTTTGTAAGTGAAAAAAAATTTGAGAATAAATTAATGATAACCCAGTCTATCTTATTTATTAAATTTGTCTTCGACACACACACAAAAAAAATATGTTTGTATGTAAATAATTATAAACTTTATTCCTTATTACAGCTTTACACTTGATGGTTTTGCATTCCGATGAAGTTTATAACATTGAAGAAAAATTACTAGAAATTATCTTCCTCTTGGGTTGTAGATTCTCATCGGAAAATCTGGTTCATTTCTTATAAATTTTCAGTTGTGATAGAAAACGTTGTTTACATATAAATGTCTTCTCAAACGAAGCCATTATTATTAGTGCAAAAATTCATAACTGAGCTCATTTAACTTTGGCAATTATGAATAAAAATTAACCAAATTTACTTCTAATTAATTATAATTATTAAATCTTTGAAATCCACTTATAATTATTAAATCTTTGAAAAAATACTTTCACAGTGAAAATTAATTAGCTCCATTTATAGATTTTTTTGATATTCAATTCCTGTCCATTTTTAATGGTAATGAAAGTAATGCAAACTCTGACTTCAAATGACTAAAATTTTGAAATCTTTGCAACACTGTATCGCATCAAATGCGTAACTGAAACGCATTAGTCGGTAGCATAAAACTACTTCGATGCCGCGTGCAGCCTGCCACGTTGAAACCACTGCCGTAATATAGCATTACCTTATTATCTATTAAAATGGTTTTGGTTTAATTATGACAAAGCACTCGGGGGGCTATCTGCCTAAGGAATGGGATGCCTTCATGAGGAACTTTCTAAGGGAAACTGTTTCGTATGGGGAAATCTACGAAAACGTCCATGCAGCCAGTTTGTTATCAGGATTCGAACTCCGGACTGAACTACCAGCGTTCAGCAATTTTAATACGTGGTGGGCTATCTATTAAAATGTGAAATAGAGATCTTTAAAAAAAAACAGTTTAATGAATGCATGCCTGCAAGCATCATCCAAAATTGACTAACCCAAAGATGGAAATGCATGGTGTTTGGGACACCTTTTTTCTAGTCTTTCACATTTGACATCGTAGTACCATATCTTAGAAACATGCTGAGTACCTAAGTGTTTACGAAACGTTTTATACTAATGTACGAAAGTTAAGTCACGATCAACAACAACAAAACATTGCTCGTTATTATGCTACTCAAGCATCGAAGTATTTGTAGACATACATTCACTAACTAAAATGTGAATGCTGTCCTGGTCTGCTTCTGAGAATAAAATTGGTACTAAGAATTTCTAAATCATTTTGTACGAACTGCACATTTATGTCCGAATATACTAATTTTTCTTTTCTATGAAATATTCTTTTTATTTATTTTTAATTTCTAAATAGAAAGCAAGGATACAAACATGATTGATAAAGAACCGAATAGGATAAAATTAATTTTAGAAAATAACATTTTTTAGATCTTGCTTTTTGATCCATTTTTACATTTCTGAATTTTCAGACTTTCGGCTATATCTCCGACAGTATTTTTCATTTCCATATACTTTTTTATTCAGATACTAAAATTCATAGCGCACTGTTTTCAGAAATTTAGTGCAGACATTTCTGACATAGCAGCATTATACTATGTTCTTTTTATTACTGAACAATTTCTAGCACTATAACATTAATATGCAGTTTACAAATATTTTATTACAGGTTTTTAAAAATTGAAAAAAAATAAGTATAAGAATTTTTTCTTACAGAAATTGCTAAGGTAAGAGTAATATCCCGTAAATTTTTAACGATAATTAGTTACATAAAATGGATTATGAAATAATTTTAATAACTTTTATTCTAGAAAATGGAGTTATGTACCTTGCACTTCAAGTATTTTTTACGTAATTTAATTTACACCTACTTCAATCACTAATGTCTTTACTAATATCTTGACATTAAATAATTTAAGAAACTTAAACACAAGAAGACTTTAAAATTTGCATTTAATTCCCTTTTAATCTCAGTCTACGTAATTAATATTTTGTTAAGATTATTAACAGACTCTCCTGACAATAACCGAAAGCTCTGGATGTTGAGCTTCTCTGTATTATTTTAAGTCGTTACACTTAAGCTTTGTGTTAATAAATATTCCTGATAGAAAACAGATGTTAATATAAAGCATCCCTTGTTCACTGTAGTATGCGTATTCTGGAGTGATTTATTCTGATAAAATCTGTTACTTCGTAACATTGTTGACATATGTATATCATGATGGACTTTGCTTGCTGCTATATGTACTAATTTTGCTAACTTTTGCGAGTACTGTACATTTCGCTATTTCCGTCATTTGAGATTAGAGCAAACATTTTAGCTTCTGATGTCCAAATCATTGGATATTATCTGAATACAAGCATAACTTAGAAGAAAAATATTTATTACATCCCTCTTTCAAATTTCAATGAAATGTAAGGTTATTCATTTAAGTAATGCATAATCTTTAAAAGATTTTAATTTACATTCTAGTATGTAATTAAAGCAACGTTTCTTAAAGTGTAATAAAGCTGTTAAAAAGACAATAAATTTTAATAATTAACTATTATAAAAAAGTTCTCTCAGGAAAGAAATTAAATGTATCTTAACAGTTGCTTTCTAATATTCTGCTGTTTTTTTAATTTAAATTTTGAGCAAACGTTTTGGCACTTAAAGTCTAAAATCTTAAGGTATTACTTGAATACTAACATTACTTAGATGAAATAAATATTTAATTCATTCCTATTTCAGACTTGAATGCAATATAAGACATGTGAACAGTTAACCTGCAAAAAAATTTCACTTACGTTCTAGTAGGTAATCAAACCAATATTTATTAAAAGCTATATTTCTAATACTGTTTAAATACAATCATTTTAATGCTTACTATCAAAATTCTCTTAGCAATGTTATCAATCTCTCATTCTAACAGTTGCTTCTCTTTATTCCTTTATTTCCTTTATTTGAATTTTGAGCAAAATTTTAAACATCTGATACCTAAATTCTTAAGATATTATTTGAATACTGGCATTATTTAGATAAAATAAATATTTATTACATTCCTATTTCAGACTTTAATGCAATATAATGTAGTACATATAAGCAATTAATCGACAAAAAATTTCATTTTCATTCTAATTATTAGAAAATTAATAACTCAGTCAGAGAAATAAACGAAAGCACGTTTATTTCATCATTTTCTTTATTTCAATTTCGAAAAATATTTTTAACACGTGGTGTCTAAATCTTAACATATTATTTTAATACCAGCATAATTCGAGTCAAAATATTTATTACACTCCTATTTCAAATTTTAATTGAATGTATAGTACAAATTACAGATAGTTAACCTGTTAAACCTGTACAAATTACAGAGAGTTAACCTGTTTAAAATATCTATGTGCTGTTAAAAATTTCTTTTACATTCTAATATGTAATCACATACAATGTTTGTTAAAGTACAATAAATGCTGTTGAAAATATGATAATTTTAATGCTTATTATAAGATAATTCTCTTGGACATTCTCTTATCATGGCAGTTTCTTGCTTCAATTTCAGATTAATACTTGGAATGTATAAAACAGAAATGAATTATTTTCTATAAACATTGTATGTTTTTGCACACTGTGCTTAGCTGCTAGTTTAATATATGTTTGATCTGTTTTTTTTTCGAATAAAAATTATATGAATTCTTTTAGTTATAAATATTAAATAAATCCAAACAAGTTTCAAAATATCTATGTGCTTTGCGCGTAAAATTTAATTGAAGTACACCTTTTTTATGTTGATGTTAATTCTAGTATTAAATTTACAGGTTCATCTCAAGTTTCTTAACTTAATTTATTTATTTAGCAAGTTTTCCTAATTTTCTGCAGGTTTTTATTTAAATATTTTTTAATGTTTACCTCTTCTTTTCCTTTTAAACTCCCCTTTAATTGAGTTAACCCTAACGTAAAAAATATATTACAGAAAACTTAAACCAATTATGAGAAATAAAGAAATTTTTATAATAGGAAAATTCTTAAACTTATACTAAAGGTTAAACGATTGTTAACTTATTCTTCTTTCTAGGATGCTGTTCTACTGTTTCTTTCTTATAAAAGCAGATTAAACTAAGAAATTTGAGAAACTACTTTGTGTGCACAGAATGAAAAGTCTTTTTGTATTTTTGCATATTAAAGAATGTTAATCATTTTATTTTTAAAACTTTGAAAGTGTCCGATTTCAGAAAAATGTTTTTCTAAACAAATTACAAATGTGCAACTTTAATTTCTACAGGAAGTCTGGAATGTGATTAAAAATGCTAACCATTAAGATTTGCTAAAATAAAAAAAAAATCAAGAACATCTAAGATAAAAAAAAAGTAACAAAAAATAAACAAAAGATTTGTAAACAGAAATTTTTATCACAGTCTGCAATACATTAATTTGTGTCAAAGACTGTTGAAACCATACCTTATTTGGAAAATTTTATACCCATATAACTTTAGCTTTTGTATTTTTAGATACCACTGAAAAAATAGCTATACCATCGAAACTATATAACCTGATTACAGCAAGGTTCTTCCATGGAATTTTGTCAATTCTGAGAGATATTTAGATAAATCCCTTAAGTTAAAGAATATAACATTTTTTACTTAAACAAGAGGGATTTTATCAATATAGCTCAAAATTTGGAAATATTTGCTCTAGAATAAAGGTTAGTAAAAGACAATTTTTCTGATTTTTAAGTTAAAAGCCGTATTTGTTTTTCTCTTCGACATGTAATTAAAATAATATTTCACAAAGAATTTTATATTCAATTACGCTAATACAGAAAGCTATATAAATCACTCTGAATTATTAAAATATTACATCATCAAATGGCTAAATAAAAAATTTTTAACATCACTGGAGTTTGTAAACATTTCTAAGCAATTAAAATTTTCAAAACATTTAAAATTCTTAAGAAAAGACAAGAACTGCGAGCAAAATGTAGTTCAGATTGAAAAATTACAATAATTTTTAAGGGCCTATTTTTAGCATGGCACCTACCATTGCGTAATTCTATTTTTAGAATTAATTTATAGCAGCTGTATTGTTTACATGAAACCCAAATCGAGTATTCGAATTTAAGATATAGTGATTGTTTGGAAAATTTCTTGAACCTGAGATAATAAAAATAACAGATACTCGGAAATATATTTAAGTAAGAATGTAAAATATGTAGGAAATTACTTATTATTATTATTATTGTTATTCAAAAAACTGAAAGAGTATTATTATGCTATACATTATAAGTTTATCATATTTTGTCCCATTTCAGTTCCGTTCATTAATGCTCCTTTTTCGTTTGATTTGACACATTTAACGAAGTGATGTTATAAATAAACAAATGAAATTTTTACCCTAATTTTGTGCCATATTTATATAAAATGTCAAGAGTTTCATGACGTTAAAATATGAAGGGGAAATCTTAAGATAAATATAAACTTAAAAAATAAATAAGATAAATATAAACTTAAAAAATAAATAAGAAATAAAGCTAAGCTATATTTTATTTCGAATTGTTTACGATATTCATTATCTCGCTTAACACCACGCTGGACGTTTCTGTACGGTAAAATTTCTAATGAAAAATATTAATGGTTTATACCTCAAAAGCGGTTTTATTTTAGCTCTGAATTTCATCTAGTTTTTTTCCCATGTTTGATTTCCTTGGATCTATGAAATGCATTATGAATTATTTTCGAAAAGTTGTAAATTCTTCTGCAATTAAAGTTGCACCTCTACAGCACTCTCATACCCTCCCAATATTTAATATTTCAAGTAAAAAGTCCTAAAAATTTCATATACTCATAATCTCAAATTTAGAACATATATTCTCAAACATCTAAACTAGAATTAATTCAACATTAATAATTAAAATAAAACTGTTAATAAATGGAATGCCTTCCTATCATGTGTTTGAATCTTCTGGAAATAGGTTTAATTCTTTTCAAATTTCATTAAAAATTAAACTATTATTTGTAAATGATTTTGTCAAAGAGCATTTAGTTTCAGCAGCGTCGGCCAAGTACTTACAATATGTGTGAAATACAAGCACAGTTAGAAATGCGAAATACAGAACGATATAAGAAAGTATTACAATATATTAGTGAGGAGAATTTAAAAAAAAATAAAAAGATGTATTCTAGTGGCTAATAAATTGTCAATTCTTCAGTGGAAATTCTGAAGATTACCGTAAAAGTGTCTGGAGTACTCTCAATGCAGCTTGCAGTACTTTCTTCTGTCAAATAATAATACAAAAAAGAAATACATACACTTATTTAACAAAAAGGAAAACCTACAAAGCGGGACTTTAGCTGCAACGGAATACAAGCGTATTTCTTTTGGAAAAGGTGTGCGCCAGTGGAAGGGCGGGGGATTTTTATAATATTGAATTATGCCGCAACATTTCTGTGCGATGAGAAAACAGAAGGAAAGGGAATAGGATGAAACAAAACGATAACATTACATTTTGAACGGAAACGGAAAAAATATATCAATCATAAAATAAAGCAGGAAACAAAAGGAAAAATACATATCGAACGTGCTTAGTATTCCACGCTATAGCGAATGTATAGGATGGAAAGGGGGATAAAAACCAAAAAATAAATAAAAGAGAGAAAGAGAGAAAAAAAATAAAATACCTCAGTCCGAAACATAAAAATAATCATAAGAAGAACCAGCAAAAATTTTGGAGAAAGAAAAACATAAGCATCCCTAGTAGGATAGCTGGGATCCCTTCCATTTTTCATGAGTTACGTCGCCATGGTAACCCAGCGGTCACGCTCATAGCGAGTCAAGGCTAAGGTCCACCCTCGAACGCCGGTCCGGCCAAGGAACGACCAATGGCAGGCGTCCGTCGATTTTCACTCCTCTCCCTCCCCTCCCCTAACTTCCCGCGTTCTTTAATAAATCCATTCGTGGGAGGGGGGTATAGCGATGGGAGCAAAGCCTCCGGTGGTCCATCTCAAGCCCCGCCCCCTCCGCATCCCGGATTCCAAGCATCCCGACATGAAAGAGAACCGGCTCAAACCGGTGGGGGAGGGTGGGGACAGCGGGGGAGGGTCGGATATATTGAAAGAAGGGCCGGGGGCATTCGAAATAAGGGGCAGGGAAGGGGTAGGGGCAAAGAGGGTGGGGTATAGGATAAAAAATAAAGAAAGCTACGTGGGGTAAAAAGCTAGAGATAGTAGAGGGAATTTTTTTTTTCTCGAAAGAGGATGGTGTAGCAAAAGAACATGGCTAGTGGAATGAATCTTATATTGGTTTTCCATTGCAAAAAAAATAAAATAGAATAAAAAAATGTATATATTCGAAATGGCAAAATATGATACGGTTGCCAGATAAGAATTCCATGTATGCGGAAGTAGGAGAAAATGACGTGGAAAAAATCCTCATGTGAATTTTTTCGCGGTGCTACATTTCCGGACCCAAACCTATACTGAAATTTATTAGGCAAGAAAAGATTTACATTACAATTCTCTTACACGCTTTTATGTGAAAACAAATAAATGAATAAAAAGAAAAAGAATAAAATTAAAATCAAGTCCGTATTTAATTAACTGTGAAAAATGTGTAATACCCAGCGAAAACATAGTATTGAAAATTCTTTTTAAAAACTGCATATTTTCTAGATTTCCTTTAATAATTAATGCAAATCCTGCTCTATTACAGAATTTCACTGACTAATAATGGTTAATTAGCAATTATTAAATTAAAGATTTAAATGAAATATTACCTGATATAAAAACTGCACATGAATTTTATTTATAATCTTAACTAAAGATTAATCGAAAAAATAAAATATATGTAAGCGTAAAATATCTGCGAAGGTTAGCAATATTCTCCCCCGCTGAAAATGACAAATGTTAAACAGAATATATATATATATATATATATATATATGGTTTTGTGTGTGCGTATGAAAGTACGTATGCATTGGTATGTGCGAACAATGAACAAGAGTTTTGTATTTACAAATGGGAAAAGAGAAAAGAGGCCAATGCATAATGCTTAAGAAAAATGTTTGTTTTTTTATATATTTAAGTCTGGCTGTCTGAAAAAGGTCAATTTTTTTAAGAAATAATCCCCAGATGATGAAGTGTCCATTCAGTTATGAGTAAAAATCGATTAATTAATTACACTCAAAATAAAAATCGTAAATTAAGATTATTTTGGAAATTTACGATTTTTATTATCAGTAAGTAATGCACAGACATTCTGTGTACTTTTCCCCCTTTTGATATTTAAAATATTCTTTTGTAAGGCCAAGATTTTGTTGATATGCTTCTTTCAGAAGTTTTCACAGTATTTGTTTTAACATATCATTACTGCTATTCGATTAACATCAAATGTTTTATAACGTAAATTTAACAGTCCTGATGAAACTGAGGATAAGCTTCTAAAAAAGTAATGAAATTACATTACTCGATTAAAATTTTTGATAATTCTTCCTTTTCCACATTTGGTTATTTAAAAACTATAGTAATTTATATGCAAGATTCTTGTTACTATTGCTATTAAATATTGCTAAATTAAAAAAAATTTAAAAGATATAATTTTACTTTTAAGTCTGTCCATTTAAGAAATTTAGTGTAATAGCAAACAAATGCCTCATTTTGATTTTTCAGCTAAACATTTATTATTATTTAAAATATTCATTCTAAACTAACCAAAACAGGTATTCTGTAAAATACATATACTTTACTTTCAATGAAAAACTATGATGATATATTTGATTTTTTAAAAAGTATAAAACCAAAACGTTTATTCTTCAGAATGTTTTTTTCTAAGTTATTACAAACTGTTTTTATTTTTTGTGACTTATCATTAAGTCTAATAGTCATTATTTTTTTAGGGCTGCCTAGAAGGGGTGAAGCAAATTTCGAATTCTTTAGAGAGCTACACTGCAGGCTAAATATTTATCTGGTAAGAATTGTTTCTATAGAATTATTCTTCGATTTAATAAAATTCCAGAAAAATACATCGATTGTTATCAGATAGATTTTTATTTTTTTCTTTCATGTCTTCTACTCCCTCCTCTCCTTTTTTTTTGGGGGGGGAGGGTTTGTTTTTTCAGTTCATGGCCAGATTAAGATATGAATAACTTAACAATAAATATTCATGTAAAATTCTGAACTTATTATTTTACTATTGAGCAACAAAGGAAATTGTGACAAAGTTGATAAATATTTTTTTTTTCTGCGTTTAGTTTGAATGACTTGATTTTATGTACATATATATTTGTTATGTATATTTATGTGCAATTACCTGGATCCATAAATGTAGACTGTTAGCTACTTTGTCATTTACATTGGGCTCAAACCTTAATTGCATGTGTGCCAGCTAACCTTAATTGCATGTTGACGGGGAGGAATTTTTTTTTCGAAGTAAAATGCAAACTTTTTTTTAGCTAACTAAATTTTAAATTTTATTTACTTAAATGTTTATCAAATATAACTGGCAATAATAATAATGCATTGGGAGAAAAATTCTAATTTATGTTAATTTTGTGACTGAAATGCAAAAGTTGTGACCTGCAAAAAATTTCTATTGGTTACACTTTGTCATTCAAACGCATTGACAGATAAATATTAAATTTTCGCACAGTTACTTCAGATAATTCCAGTGTGTTATTTAAACGCTAAATAACTCACTAAAACCAAAAATAAACAAATTCCGAAAACGTTCCCAGTGGGACAAAACTTGAGAAAAATAATGTCAAACTATTACTGTTACTTTTCTTTTATATATTAGATTTCTTTCACGCGTGCAGGAAACGTACACATGTTTGTATATAAATAAACTTCTTTATTTCTTACTGCAGCTTTCAACTACAACACAGCATGGAGTTTTGACTCGATGAAGATTGAAATCTTGGAGAAAAATTACTAGAAGCTATCTTTATCACCAATGACAAATGCTCATCCATCACCTTGCTTCTATTTTTTTAACTTAGTAATTTTCAAAATAAAGGAAAAAAATCTGTTCTGTATAAATATATTCCCAACAAAGCCATTGTTTTTATTGCAAAAATTCGTAGTTCAGGATATTTATGTTTTGTCGAGCACGAAAAAAACATTAATCAAATCTATATCTTCAGGTGTTTGAAACAGATTTGAAGCAGAAGAAACAGAAGCAGTGTGAATTAATTACCTCTGTTGATTTCTTGAGGCATTACTGACACCCATTTTAAATGATAGTGAAAATAATGCGAAACTAGACTCAGAACCATTAAAATTTTAAATATTTGTTTTTAGTTCTTTCCATAATAAATTGTGTCATAATAATGAGGATTAATTTAACGGAAATGTATTTGTGGGCCGCATAAAATAACTTGGAGATACACATGTGATCGACCGTCCGCCAGCTGAGAGCATTGATTTACACAAATGTGGCGTACTTTACTTTATAACATATAAATATAATTAATACGTACAATCCATTTGTAGGTATACTTCAGAAAACGCTTTAATGATGTCATAATATCACATCATTTATGATGTCACGCAAATGAATGAATAAAAACATAAACAGCAAGATAATGATAAGCAGTCGTTGAAATTAGAAAGGATAATAAGTTGTTGCACTTTTTGCTAGACCAAACAAATTAGACAATAAACTGCATAAGACAGCCCTTTGTTATCTGAACAATAATTATTTTTCTAATTAACTTAATTAATAACGCTTGATAATGTTAGCTGAGCATCCATCTTATTATGCCATAGATGAATCTAAGCTTTGCATAGAAAATCAAGCATTCCCAAGGAAATATGTATAAAGAGAATCAAATGCAACGATTCGCCAAAGAAAATAATTAAACAATTGTACAACCAGAAAGGCAAAGAAGATTAGAGGAGGAAAAAAAATACTTCAGCTCGTTGCTACTAAATTACTCTGTTGACTGTATTATTTGTTCGCAATCATGCGCGCATGAAAGGGAAAAAAAATAACCGAAAAGGGTAAAAAAAAAGACGTGCAGAAAAGAAGAGAACGAAATGCTGGGTGGGCAGGTGGTAGAGGGGGTGATGACTGAAAAAGAGCATGGTAAACTTTATTGCCATTTACCAGAAAGTCTATGTCATGTTCTTTGTGTTTATAAATACTGCTCATTGCAGCCTTTTGCTCCTCTTTAATTCTTGCACCCCTCTATCTTAGCAATTTTTTCGTCGTCTTTTCATTCTTCTTCATTCTTTCATTTACTCGAAGTACGCCTTTTTTATTCGTTTTTTACTACTCCTCCCTTTAAAGAAGCGGAACAATTAATTTGTTAGTGACGTCATAAAGCGACTGAGAACAAACGGTGTGGGGGGCTTTCCATAAATTGTAGTTCGTCATTTAAGTGTCTCAATAAATTTGTTTTCGGTGTAGTGACGATGCAAAAAATTTGCGAATAATTATATTTCATTTGCCTAAATGTAAATGTTTCTTCTGGATTTACGTTTTAAATGGAAATAACCTATTTTTATTTTTTAGTAGATATAAAAAAATCATAACAGTTTTTTTTTTTTTTTTTTTTTTTTTTTTTTTTTTTTTTTCCTTTGCGAAGTTTAAGAGGAAGTTTTAAGCACTTTCCTTCATTAAACATTTTTGGCAACAAATTTTTTGTATAACAAAAAACCTCGAAAAACATAAAAAATTATCCATTGACTTTCAATGAAAGCTTTAAAGTATTAAATTATTAGCAATCAGTAATATTAATATCTAATTTATCATCTTTTTATTTTCATTGCTTATCAGAAGATCGTTTAAATTCTAATGCAGCTGCGTTCAAATAAAGTAGAATTCCATAATAAATGGACCCTCATCCTCCTTGGCGCCAACCAGCGGCCGAGCGGTAAAGTCGCTGAACACTGGTAGTTCGGTCCAAGGTTCGAATCCCACGAACGGGCTGGCTGCATGAGCGTTTTCGTGGTTTTCCCCATGTGTAACGTGCATACGAGTCAGTTTCCCTTAGAAAGTCCTCCACGAAGGCATCCCTCCCCTTAGGCATGTAGCCTAGTGTGCTTTGCCATAATTAAATACACACACACACACCTACACCCCCATCCCTCCTTGGCATAGTGATAAGGGCCTGAGAGTTCAAACAGGCCTCTATCTCTGGTGAATGTTTAATTTTGTGGTTTGTACCCTAGAAAAGAGCCATTTCTCCTTAGAAAGCCCTTCCCGAAGGCATCCCGTCCCCTAAACAGGTAGTCTTGGTATGATTTTTCTTATTTAAATGATCTAATCTAATCATCGCAATGAATGAAGATTTTATTCGGACTATATTACTAGACTAAGAACAACACTCGAATTAAACAAAAAGTAATTTTTAATATTTAAAAGTTCCAGATAATTTTTTCAACGCTTTTCTGTTTGTATAATATAAATTCGCTGATTAACTATTAAATTTATTCATTCAATTTTATTAAATTCAGAGAAGAAATTTTTGCAAAATAAGTGTTAAACTAATCTAAAATAAATTTTCAGACGAAAGTTTCTCAGAAAAATTTAAAATCCTTAAAAATTAATATAAAATACCAAATCAAATTGTTTTTGAAATTTTATCGTACAGAATTAATTGACTTTTTTTTTTTTTTTTTTTTTTTTTTTTTTTTTAAAGAAAGCATGTACATAACAACTGAACTTCAGAAGTTTTAAACTGGAAAAAAGACAGTTTTGAAGCAAATACGTAACCGGAAAGATAAATTTCGTTTGTTGTCATTTATAAGTACCCTTCTTTTGCTGTAAATAAAAATTTAAAATAAAAACTTAATTATGTTGTGTATTGTTACTAATATCGCTCGTCTGATATCAGAGCAAGTCCATAAAATTCATCGTGGCAAGGAAACAAGATTGTGCCTGTCGTTGACAAGAATCTTGGTCACCATACTTCAATAGTTAAGACTTTGCTCAGTTTTGAAGAAGGGCAGACGGATTTGAGAGTCTTGCACCAGATTCTCTAGCGGCGTTCGAACTGAGAAAGGTGGTCGACAATAATTTGTCACCACCAGAATTTGTCGATTGGGTACCCTAATCCCCAGTCGCTCTTTAAAAGGTGAAGTATATAAGGTATTTCCTCTCTCATTCCAGCATGCGTTTGTGTTGTAATGGTAGCATACTCGACGTGCATTCGAGAGGTCCATGTTAAGTCCCGGCGAGGGCACTGGATATTTTTTTTTTCAAAAAAACCTGATGACTCTAAAAAATTACAAATTATTATTCTTGCAATGTGAAACATGCAAATCTATCAAAAAGATCACGAGGTACATTTATAACGAGGTACATATATTTAAAATAAGTAGGAATTATAAAAAAGTTTCATGAAGCGGATTTTTTATAAAACAAATCATCAAGAAAAATAAAGTACTTCGATTCTCCTTTTAGTAAATAAGATTATTTTTATTTATTTATTTATTATTTATTTTCATTTATTTAATTGTATTTATTTATTTATTTAATTGTATTTATTTATTTAGTTAGTTATTTTTAATTATTTATTTATTTTATGAAATAGGTCAGTTTGCTAAATTTTTAATTGAAAAATTCCTATTCGATATAAATATAACGCCCACGTATGAGCCAACAACTTTTGTAATTAAACTAGAATTTGATTGCAATATATCTGATGGATTGGATTCGCAAGATTTATACTGCAAGAATGTCTGATCTATAACACTTGCTGAATCTGGAGTACCAAGTCCTCCTTCAAGAAATTTGAATCAAAAAGCATATCTTGAAGAGGAGAATCTTCTATTATTTAAAAAAAATTTTTAAAAAATTGAACCATTTATCATATTGCTTTTATAGTAGATTAACGCATCAAAACATTATTGTTTCAAGCATAATTAAAAATTAAAAAAGCTTATTAAACTTACTGTTAAATAATTTTTCTTTAATAATTAAAAAATTAAAAAAGCTTATTAAACTTACTGTTAAGTAATTGCTTCTTCTACTTCTTGAAGTCTGGCTTCACTTTGGTGCCTTACGCCCCGACTCAAAAAACTTTTTTCAAGGAAAAAACTTACAGTTCATAAAATCAAAATGTAAACAAAATACTGTTGCCAGTTACGAAGAAGAAAATCATAAAACATTTTTTAGTTAGAATTTCATTTTTGTATAACGCAAAAATCTCACTCTCAAGCGTAATTATTACAGTAATATTAATGATGTTATTTAATATCAAGAATATGTTAATTTTTTTTTACAGAATTTTCGGTTTTAGAAAACAGCAACCAAGAATTAATTCAAAATAACAGCTAGCGCAGTGAAATTTTTAATATTATTTTAAGAATATACTCATAAACGTTTCATAAAGAGAAGGAAGAAATGTAAATTGTTTATTCTGTTATAGCAATTTGAAACGTACAGAAGCGCGTGTAACATGCGTCCGTGTTGAATATCAAACTTCTTGCCATGTTAGGTTTTTAATTCAAAATAAAAACTACATGAATTATTAAATCCAAATGGTAGAATTCAATTCTTTTGGGAGCTATCGAGCTTCAAATAAATGAGTGGCGATGGCCAAAGCTACCAGGAAGAAAAGTGGAGCTCAAAGAAGTATTAGCCGGCATACGTCATTTTCTCAAAAGGCAATTCAGTTTGATATACAGAGAATTCACCAAAAACTGCAAGACAACTATGATCAACCAATCGACAAGAGGGCCACAGTTTATCTTTTGGGAGTTTTACAATATGTCGCCACGGAAATTGTAGAACTCTCCGGAAATGCTGCTAGAGAGAATCTTCCACGTGGCAAGCCTTTCATTATCAAAGCAGAACACATTAACAAAGCTGTTCTCGCTGATGAAGAACTCAAACAGCTGTTCACTGGCCTACAAAATTCTCAGTAATAACGGCTTTTCTTGGAAAAAAGGTTTCTGGATTTTGAAGAATTTCGAGATTTAATAATGGCAAAGTACTTAATGAAATAAATCAAAAAATAGATACTTTCTCTCTCATTTGCGAACTTCCTTTCATTAAATACACAGTGAAGAAACTATTCCCCGAATTATGTGCATTTTAATTAATTTTAATCATGTGACGCTGGTCTTATGTTCAGATGCCATGGCTTTTCATATTATGTGCAGTATAGAAATGACAGCAATTGGAAGTCATATAAAATAATTGCAACTATGATAAAAATTATCTACTCATTAAATTATTATAAAATACCTCCGTAAATATAATCTTTGTCATTTTTTACATTTAGATTTATCATTATGCATTACGTTTCAATATGCCATTATCAAAGATTGCTGATACTCTTCTATTATCGGTACTCTTCTGTTCTGTGTATTATCTCTATCTTCTGTTATCTGCATGTATGTATACATACATACATACGTACATGCATACTTGTATACACGCATATATAAGCACATCCATCCATCCACACATGCATACATACATATATTTCTGAATCCTGTCACGATAACAGAAGAGTGCCAGATTTTCTTATATTGGTAGTTTAAGAGTAGCCTATTTCTTTGCTTCTTATCAGGAAAATAAATTTTGGATACTCTTCTGTTATTGGGATAGAATTAAGGTACATATGTATGCAAACATGTATGGATGTATGTATTCATGCATGAGTGTATATATATATTTCTGAATCTTGTTCCGATAACAGTAGAGTACCAACATTTGTTCGGTTTTATTTTTAAATCATGTTTTACTCTAGTAAATTTTCTAGCAATTTACTAAACACTAGCATAAGGCAGATTGTATTAATAAATATTTTAGTAAGTTACCATTTGCAGTTTATAAGTAGATATTAAGTGGTCACCTTTCCTGCACCACGGATGGAATCCAGTAAACCTGCGGCAGTTTTTAACATATGTAAGAAAGCAGGCTGAATATCTATAATAATATTTATTTAATATATGCTGCATTATATGTGCGTATAACATATACGTGTATAAAATACACATACACACACATACACTCAGCATATTTACATACATTTCTGAATCCGATCCCGATGACAGAAGAGTACCAAAATTTGTTCAGTTTGATATTTAAATCATATTTTATTCTAGTAAATTTTCTAGGAGTTTCCTAAATTATCTCATAAGGTAGGTTGTATTAATAAGTATTTTAGTAAATTACCATTTGCAGCATATAGGTGAACATTAAATAGATACTTTTTCTGCACCACGTATGGAATCAATAAACCTGAGGCAGTTTATATCATATATAAGAAAGCAGGTTATAGGTCTATAATAATATATATTTATACTCCATTTATCGTCATATTATTCTGATGTAATAAGTAAAGCTCAATGAAAAGAAGTTAGTCACAATTTCTTTATTCCAATGTTAAATTCCAAAGCTTTTTTTAATTCAGTAAATATTATATTAATTTATTATTTATAAAACTGCTGGTTTTAAAGGTCATATCAATTCTCACAATCTTGTCACCATTAAAGATCTATATTTAAGTACCATATGCATATATTAATGTTTGCGTTAATGTATTTTATTCGTACTTTGCACGTTTATATATAATATTATTTACATACAGCAACTATTCATGCCTGTTAGAACTTATTTTGGTAAACTTGGTGGAAAATATTGTGTTGTCAGCAAAGCTAGAAAGGTTTTGTATTTGGCTTTGAACGCTTATCCCGAAAAAGCCAGAGCGGATGAAAATTTCACAGAAAACCATTTTCAATACACAAACATGAAAGAATAATAATAACACCAAAAAAAAAAAAAAAAAAAACTGCTGATACTTCAAGACCGAAAAGATGAAGAAAAAACACCATTTTTCTAGACCTGGATACCTAAAAAAACTCTCCACATCTAATAAAAATAGGACTACAGTAGCTATTACATTCCTCTAGCAAAAGGCTACAAGTCACTTCCTCCTTGAGCTACCACCGTGATGCCAACAATAGCCGACACCCACTATATATGCGCAATTTTTTTCTTAATATGCAACGTACACAAACGCGAAAATAGAAAAAGTCTACCTTCGTCGACAATAGATTGTGGTGAAAGAGGGTGGAGGGTCATACAAATCCTTCTCTATATGCACAAGAATAACAAGCAATAACCAGTTGATGGTGCCCATATTTTGAACTCCACCCTCTTATAGCTAGCAGCTATAGAGTGGAGTCTACTACCCGCATATGGAGAAGCATTTCAGCCAAATGAATTGAGTTCTGAAAGGAAACGAAAAATTCTTGTAGCAGGAGAAGAAAGATCACACGACAAGGTCTAAAGTGGTCTGGTTTTTTCTGGTATTCGTATGCACCTTTGCATCAAGAGAAAAAGAAGAATTAATGGAAAGAAGAAATATGCTCTGTGTCTCTCTTTTAAGCTTTCCAATCAAATGTGGATTTCGAAATCTTTTATTTAATTCTTTAATTTCTGTAGTAGCAATAGCTTAATGTGATCACATTCATCCACGGGTATTTTGACAGCATTAAGCGAATGATGAAAAAATAATGGCTTTCGAAATCGAAAAAGAATTTAATTAATTTAATATAATTATAACTAGAAATATACAAATAGATACTTTCGCAGAATTTTATTTAAGAAAAGTTTGTTTATGAACTGTTCAAAATAGCTTTAATGGAAGATTTCATTTATGACCTGTCCATAAATTTTCTGGAAATTATTTGTCCGGTGCTATACCCCTAATCTTAATACTCGGAGACCATGGGTGTCTTCAGTGATTGCCTTTTTCAGGGGCAAAATGCTGCAGAAAATATTTCCTCTAATATTGATCCTATATGCTGATTGTCTACAAAATCGATAGAGTTATTGAAACTTAACGTTAAACTGAAATTGTTCCCTTGTCTAATTTTAAATGATCAACTAAAATTGAAACGAAGTTGTTTGGTGGCATTTTTACGACATTTGGTAATTTCTATAACCAATTCTGAGCTTATTCGATGACTTTAATTTAAGAAATTTATACTAAAATATCTTGATCGTATTAACCGAACTGTCAACCACAATTAGAAATGTATTTTGCATATCCCCTTATCTAATTTTAAATGATTGACTATTGAAACGAAGCTCTTTGGTGACATTTTTCCATCATTTGGTAAATTTTATAACCAATTCTAAGCTTTTTCGGTGACTTTAATTTAAAAAATTTATATTAAAATATCTTGATCATATTAAGCAAACTGTCAACCACAATAAGCAATGTATTTTCCCATATTCCCTTGTTAATTAGCATTGTATTTTCCATAGTCCCTTGTCTAATTTTAAATGATTGACTAAAACGAAGCTGTTTGGTGACATTTTCCCGTTATTTGGTAATTTTTATAACCAATTCTAAGCTTATTCGAAGACTTATATTTAAAAAAATTATACTAAAATATCTTGATCGTATTAGCCGAACTGTCAACCAGAGTAAGCACTGTATTTTCCATATTTTGTTACACAAATGAGAGGGACAATAACAATATCAGAATGATAACACTAGCAGGGATTGCACTAAGTGGCTTCTAATATATGGTAAATTCTGTTCTACCAGAAATTTGTTGAGGTACTTACATATTATGGCAACCACCTTGGCGCAGTTTGGCGGATTTTAAGGATGAAAAAGACAAAACTTTTATTGCAATAATAAAAAACAAAGTATATTACTTTCACCTCTTTTCTTACGTTATAAGAAACTCCTACAAGCACAAATTTTAAAAATCGAGTTTAAGACAAAAAATAATCATTATTTTTCTTTAAAAGCCGTTGGAACTTGGAATACAACAAAAAGAAGACATAAGAAAATGGCGACGTTGGAGACTGAATATTTGTCATACGCATGGCTGCCTGATTAATTGTTATGCGCACATTTACCACAGTTTGGTGTATTCTGAAGCTTTGGCGATTTCAACTAATGGGGTTCCGATAATAAGTGAGTACTCTTGTTGCTTCTGAAAAATCAGTTTTCTTCTATGAGCACAACTTAGTAATTTAATTTAAATAGAAATTTATTTCATTAACATTTCTTGAAAGTTATCATATTCACATTTTGCCATGCTCTTAGCAATTATTTAAAAGTTATTCATTTTTGAGAACTTAAATGATTAATTGTGTAATTTCCTAAAACCGTCAAAGTATTTTAAGAACAGATAATATGAAAATAATGGAAGTATTATTGAGCCAATATAAAATGGCGAATGAGAAAATTTGTTTGTCCACTGCGTGTTGTTCTACTGAACAAATATTTCCCAATTTCTTAAAACTTTAACGTAGTCTGAATATTTTGTTCCTGATTAACGAATCTATGTCACGTGAGTCAAATCAGCGAAACTGCACGCATGGGGACGGAAACACCTTGTTCTATTGTGTATTTTCAGATTACGGGTTATTCATAAATTTTCATAGCTAAATTATAAACTATTATTACTTTGCAAGCCAAATTTACATATTCCTCTGCATAGTTTGCTTGTTTAATTGCATTTCTATGCGAGTTTTGCTTATTGTTTTCTATTCAGATTAAACTTATTGCAATCGTTTACGTGCATTTTGCTGTCCTACTTAATCTCTTATTTTGTTTTCTTTTTACTCCATATATTTTGCTATCCAGATTTTTTTTCAAATAAAAATGGATTAACGTATATTATTCCAATAAGAGCGATATGGGTATTCCAGCGGGAACGTGCGAATATTCCAATAAGAGCGATATGACTTTAAAATGATATGGTAACTCTGTTTAAAATGTTATCACTGTCACTAATTTTGATTGGTCTTTAATCTACTTTGACAATCAATATAGGCTAAATACGCTTTTCAAGCACGTTCATTTTGGCCAAAAAAACTGCATTCTCAGACGAAACTCGTATTTGCTTGATTGGATATGTTAACAAACAAAATTAACGTTTTTGGTGTTAAGTCCTTGTATTCGTAAAGGGTGGTTTATAGCATAATGACATTATCTAATCATTTCCTTCCTCCCCCCGAAAAAAAACACGAGGGATAGTTACAGTGACCGGTGAGCAATACTGATTGATGATAACAAACTTTTGGTGACCAGATTTGGAGAACATGTGATTCTAACAAGATGGTACCACATGTCACATTGTTAATGTCGCTATCGCACATTGTAGAAACAGTTTTGGTGAAACGATAATTTTGCAAAATACACCTGTTAGCTGGTCTACCAGAAATTGTTATTTATTCCTTTAGAATCATTTTGCACTTTGAGCTTGAGGAATTAGCTCGATAAAACCATCGAAAGTAGTCTTGGAAAATTTGCAAATATAACGCTGATTTTTGTTGTTTGATTTCTGCATTAAACTTTTAGAATACTTTTGTGGGGTATGAACCTTCGAAGCACTGAAAAAAATCAAACTTGGCATTCATAACATTATTGCATAATATTATCTATAACTGCATTCATGGAATTCGCTCGTCTGTGTTAAGTGGAGGCAGATAGCTAAATGTTGTTTTATTCATAAAAAGATAGATCGTTGTTTTAAAATATAAAAAAGTAATTCAGATATTTCTGTAGGCGTCAGAAAGCCTACAGTTTCAGAAGTTTTAAGAAAATAGGTGTTAGGGATAAAATTAACAAAATAAAAAGTACATACAGTGGCAAATTGATAAACAGTATAGTTTAATATGTAGGGGAAACTATAAATAATATACCAACAGAATTTAAAAGGGAATTAAAAATTCAAAAAATAAAATCCACTTTCTCTTGCAAAGGATGCCGTTAATAACAACATGCTTTTAATGGACATGAAATTCAGATTGTCTTTATGGGAAGAAGGAATCAATCAGATGAGATGACTAATAATTCTCAGGAAAGTAGACTATCATCTGGTGAATATTGATAAAAAAAGATATTTCGTTATTGGAAATTATAGAATCCAACATATCCCATGTAACATAGCAATAAATTTAATACAGCCTAGAGAATATTTCAACTGAAGAAAATTCTCTAAAATGCCAAAAAGCAGCCGAGAGATATGTGCTAAATCCTCTGCTAAAATATAATCGTGTGCATTTCCTGAAATACTACTACGCAAATTCTGTTGGTCTATTTACTCGTACTGCTAAGCTGTATTCAGCTTCCTTGAGTGTAAATTCTTCAATGAGTATCATTGTGTCTCTTTCATATGTAGAGAACAAAAAGAGAGAGGGAAGTATTATATAATGTAATATAGCTATGCGGATAAATGTATGCTAAAATTATTATCGCTAATGAATATCACTCTGACAAAAGTAACTTTGTTTCTCGTTGTAATCGTAGTATTATCTAATCAAACAGAATGTATCAAAGTTCTGAAATTTCTGGAATAATTTTATGCTCTACTTTTATAGAATAAAACTTGGAAGAAGAATTATGCACTGAAATTTATTTTATTAGTCATTGTTTGCAATGTACAAAAATGCATTTGAGAAGCAGTTTAAAAGCACGTAAATTTTGATGAATAATTTCTGAGACATCGATTTGAAATATGTTATGCTATATCTTAAAATTCCTCTGTTTAGCTGCATTCATTGAACATAAAATGTAACAGAGATAGTTGTTATCTATTTATTTACTTATATTCGGAGGACCCACAAATTCCCCGAAATATTCGATTACAAATTCTTCCCTATTTAAAACAAAGTCAAAAATACACCATTCAAATCTAATTACGTTCATTCAAATCTAAACAGAAGCCTAGATTCTAATATTCTTTTTCCTAAAGTCGCTGAACACTGTAGTTCGGTCCGAGGTTCGAATCCCGCGAACGGGCTGACTGCATGGACGTTTTCGTTATTTTTCCCACGCGTAACGTGTATACGAGCCAGTTTCCCTTAGAAAGTCCACGAGAAAAGCAGCCCTTCCCTTAGGCAGATAGTCCTAGTGTGCTTTGCCATAATTAAATAAACTAAAAAAACTCAATATTATTTCAACGGCATGCTGAAGCAAAAAAAGGCAAGCAAAATAAACTACGCATTACAAATTTTACTATTATATTTTTATTTTATGAAATAAAATTCAATTCAATTAAAAATTAAATGGTGTTTTTAAAGAATGAAGTGTTAAATTTAGATCAAAATATTTTAAAGGGAAATTTACTTAAAAGTTCATACGTATAGAGTATTTCAATTACTATTAATTCAGTTCACTTGAAGAACTGAATTAATTGAACGAAGCAGAAAAGTATTGTAACTTCGAAAAATTGCAGGTATCATGTTTCAATAGAAATGTCCATTTGCATCGTTCACGAATCCATTTGGACTATTGTTTGTTTGATTCTGCACGTACGAACAAAATAAAAGACTTTTTCTTCCAAGAAGGATTGTCAAAGGGATTTAAAATGGATTCAAAGGAGACTTTTTTTTTTTTTTTCCATGACGCTTGTACTTACTGACGTATCTCACACAACTCAAAAACGATTAGTTGTAGAGCGTTGAAATTTTGCATATGAGACTTCTATAACATCAAGTTGTGCACACCTCTTTTTTGCGGCAATCGGCAGTACCAAACCTATATGTATATACACGTTTGGGTGGGTATGTTGTATGATCTTAAATTCACTTAGTTCGAAAACAAGTTTTTCTAATACTTGCGCGATAGCTTCAAAAATCTAAGTAAAAGTAATTATAAGTAAATTAATAAGCCTAAAAGTTTAGCTAAACTACTAAATAATAAACCAATAAAATATTATTAGATAAGGTTTTTCACGTATTATCTTCCAGAAACAGAAATTGAATTAAAGAAACACTTTTTAGTCAGTATTCTAATTAGCATTTTGAATCAGTTTAATCTAGTCCCTCATTGCAGTAAAAGCCATTTAAACACCAGATTCAAAAGTAAAAATTTTTAAGCACTGAAAAAGTACTGAATGTTATTGATTGCAGATTAATTGACATGTCAAGGGGAACAAACTAATCTATTATCAATCAACAATAACACAATAAAGTGAGAGTGTTTCGTCTTTATTCCAAGTAAGGCTAAAATTATTATTTTGCTAGAGCTGCTTCAAAAGTTATGAACAATTAATAAAAAGCAATTAGTCTATTTAAGACCTGTCATAAACTAAATAAAAATGAATTCGATATTCTTTTCAATTTAAATTACCCGTTAAGAACAGAAATAAACAATATCCTTACTCAAGAAAAGCATTCCCCGACACTTCCATTTTCAAACTCAAAATCAAAAGTAAAAACAAAAGTTATACGTTTTTTAATTAAAATTCAAAATCAAGAGAAGATGTAAATTCACATAAAGTTTTAAGTTAAAGTTTAATAACTGCTTTTGCTTGGATATAATATACGAAAAACTTCTTCTTTATCTCTTTCTCTCTTTATATATACCCCTTATCCGGCTTAATAATCCTTACCTAGGCTTTATTTTTGCAATCTTGATTGTAGTCATATACTTCCAATTATAGAAGAGTTTTAAATGACGAAAATATTCAAATTTAGGTAACGTAAAAAATAATTTTTGTACAAATAGCGAAATGTAACTTTTAATATCAACTCCCGGTTCTGATACTTATATTTGAGAAAGTTTTATACTCCTAGGAAATAAAATTATAAGAAGTTACAAAAGAACTTTATAGATGACTCTCGTACGACAAAAAACTGGTCGTAAAGATGATATCCAAAAATTGCAAATTTTGGATATCATTTTTCAATTTGCCTTCAGAAATTGATTAATTCAGAATAATTCAAAAAAAAAGTTTAAAGGATGCGCAGCAAAAACATGGATGTAATTTAATAAGCCGTACAAGTTAAGTCACGTGGTGCCCACATCAGATTTTTTTGTATTACAAAAATGATGGACGCAAACTATCATTCGTAAATCTGGCGCGAAAGTTATATATTTATGCTTATTATTATCTATTAATGTGCTGAATAACATAATTTTCGTTTGATATATGTAGCAGATCGGATTATATAAATAACTCATTGCATCGATTTTAATGTTTACGTAATTAATGTATGAAATCCTCAAAGAAATATAGCCTCAACGAAGCTTTAGATATGTTCCCAAAAAACTGACTCAGTGCTTTTTACCTCTGAATCTAAGCCTCATATAGTAGGCTATGGGACAAGGAAGAAAAATTTGCTTCGGGATTACTTAGACTGTTTTGATTTGCATTGTAGCCTTTCAAAGAGCCACGACTTCGGCAAGGAAGCGGGCTTTAGGGATACCTCACTTCTGCAAATTGTTTTGCATATGGGAGCGACGGCGTGTTATGGATATTCTGGGGAAAAATAAGCCATTCTTCCCTTTTTTCTTTGTTGGTATCCTTTATAAAACAAGATTTTACAGCGTTGCGCGCTTTGCCAATCCTTCGACGTTTCTTCCTTGATATGGATGGGCCGGAGAACGCACTCCTACAAGCTAAATTTCGGCAGGGCGTAAATTGTATACTTTTTCCTCCCCCCTCCCCCTTATCTTACCATTTGTGTTGAGTGTTTGTGTATATTTGAGCTGCATATGGATGTATGCGGAAGTGATATACACTTCCTTTTATCGTGGGGTGTTATATTTTGCGGCAGAATGGGCTCTCAAAAGGAGGCTTATGCAAAATATAAAGTACGTGTGAAACTGGAGAACAAAGTGAACAGTTCCAACCTGCTAGGGTCGATTGCACCCTGCTTTGAAAGGATATTGAAGCCTACAAAATGTGAAAGAGACATATTCATATCTCAAAGACTTCCATGTATTCATATAAGCTCATTAGAATGCAGTTAAATATATCAAACTGATCAAAGTAATGCGCTAGAATGTAATACATTCAGTCTTTCTATGCTAGTATTAACTTGCAACAACGAAAAAAAATCTCACATATACTGCAATTTACGGAATTATGCGTTCATGTTATTTATAAAATAAAATAATGTATAGTATATGACATAATGATATTCATTACACACACAAATGGTATGTAGGCGCACCAGCGACCGAGCGGTAAAAGCGTTAAACATTAGTAGTTAGGACATGGGCTCAACTTCAGGCGAAAAGGCTCACTGCATGTGCGTTTTCGTGATTTTCCCAGTGTGTAACGTGTATACGAGGCCAGTTTCCCTTAGGAAAACGTCCACGAAGGCATTCCCTTCCTAGGCAGATAACACTAGTGCGCTTTGCCGTAATCTCAATAAACCAAACCATAGCATGTACAAAAAATGAAATTTGAGTCTAAGTCCTCTACCCGAATATGTTCGCCTGGAAGCCCGAATTCGGGATTTTAAATTCGCTTTATTGTCTATTTTATATTTTGTAAACCTTTAATGTATTTTTGATTAAAAACCCACCAATTTCAAAGCGAGCAGTGGCAACACTGTAGGGAATAAAACATTTTCATCTCAAGCACCCGAGAGTGTTGATGGGAAATAATAAATATATGCTGTTTTTAAACATTTTTAGTCCAAAGCTGCGTTTACCCAAATGCTCTCGAAACGAAAAAAAAAATATGTTTGGGTGTAATATAAAATCTGGAAGTTTACAAAGTTTATTTTTTCTTAATTGTTTTGTAGATACATTATTTATACTGTGAAGGTAAAAGCAGTGTTACCCGCATAACTGAATCATTTGTTTTCGAAACATGACACATTCATGTAATGAAATTTTACTCGTCTGCGAATAATATATTATTTACTGTGAGCAGTTATATGGAAAGAAAAATAAACGTTAAACACAATTGCGAAGACTGTAATTTTGTATGAAAAATGTCATATACTTTTAACGAACTCGTAGAAAAAAAATGAAAGTAAAAAACACATTCGGACTCACCTACACTTATCAAGATTTTATATAAACATTCTGCAGATAAAGAATTCGCAGGCAATTGCATTTGATTGCATATGGCACAAGAAAACTGTTATTTAAGCTTTTTCAGCTGAATATTAGCATGGATTAGCAGTTGCTTATTCTCAAATTGTTCTTAGAAATAGCATCTTTAGGGATAGGAAGAGTTTAAATGAGTGAGAAACATGCCAATGTGATATTTAAAATTAGCTATGGAAACAATCTTAGCTTAAAGAAATGACTTTTGATCCTGAAGAAGAAGAGTTCATGTCTAACTGCTTTGGAAATCAATAGAATTTATTCAAAATTTGCTTGCTCTTTCTCTAATTTTAAAAGGGAATTGTCTTTTTCTTTCTGATTTTAAGTCATAGGACTACGTTGGAGAAACCCAAAGTTCAATCCATAGTTGTTTACATTTTGCTTTATTTATGCCAGATATTTCCCTACATTGAGCAAGAACTTCAATAATCTTCCTCCATGCTGCTAAGATGACACTGCTCTTCTTTCGAAGTCCTTATGTGGAATTACTAAGGACTTTTTTTTGCTAAAAACAAGATAAATATTCAAAGCATTCATCGGCACTTTGAACTCTTGACCTTTCGATGCTAACATTTCCAGTTACACTACGAAGACACGTGGTAAAGAGGGAGAAAATACCTTACATTCTCTCCCACTAAAAGGGTGATTGGGAAGAAGGAGATCCAGTTGCTAAACCCTGGTGGTGACGAATCATCATCCGCAGCATTAGGTTTGGGCGACACTTGTAGAATCAAGCAGGTTTTTTATAAGTGGGAGAAACGAGAGAAATGTGCACTGCCGTCGCCGGAGCTCAAATCTTGGACTCTCCGATATTAGGTGGGCGTGGTTTCCAGTTACGTCTCGAAGACATGTAGCAAGGAGGGATCAAATTTTTCCCCTTCTTTTCTCTCTAAATGGCTCAATGCTAAGTTATAAAAAAATTAAAAAAATAAAGTTAATATCAGATTTAAGCCATTTTATATAATACATATTAGTGCTTAAAACTTTAAAGTTTTTAAAATATTAGCTTATTTTGAAAGTATTTCGGAGAAAAACTACTTACACAAATTAAATTAAATGAAGGTCGTAAACGCTCAGCTGCAAAATCTTAACTAAACCAATAAAAAACAATAAGACTTTTTCATCGATGAGTTGTTTAGCTATGTAAATACATTCTTATTTCAATAGGTGTTTAGTGCCAATCTAGAATTTTGAGCAACATCATATTAATTACAATTATTTTAAAAAATACTTCTTTCCAGTGGATTGAAACTATAAAAATCAATTAATACTTATTTCTTACAAGGCTGTATACTGCATTATCTTTGATAATATTAGTTTGGAATGTTTTTACATAAATTTACTGAGAGTAAAATCAGTGGACCAAAAAAATCTGTTTTTAAAATGTGCTTCCAAGTGTATTTTTAAATAGAAAGTAAATGAGAAGAAATGGAACTCCTGCCTTATTTAGCTTAAGACTAAAGAAGTAAAGGTTGCTTTAATGCAGTTTATTTTTTTTTTATGTTATTTAAAAATAACTAAGTTTCATTTGCAAAATCAAAAGATAATTTCTAATGAAAAATACCCTAATCTTTTTATTGCAGGTTTGGTCACGTGTTACATAAAAGCATGGCTTAATCAAGGATCGTTCAATGAGTTCTACAATGAAGATACAATTTTAAGAAAAGTATTAAGATATTAAGACACGATTGACTGAGTGAAAGACACGATTTCTGTAGCAAGGCTTATCAGAAATCAAGTGCCTGAGATAAATATTTTCTGAGGAAATGTCTGTAGGAAAATAAAGGTAAGAATTGTTTGAAGTTCGTAAAAAAATTAGCATAAAAACAATAGTAAAGAATTTATTCTGAAGAATGTTATGTGAATAAGCCTTGCAAGTTTTTTCATAGGTTTCACATGTGTTACATAAATCAGATTATATTCGAAAGTTATAAACAAAAGATCTCTGATAAGGTTTGTTTTAGTTTATTTGATTACTGTAAAGCACTCCAGGGCTCGAGGCCTAAGGAGGGATGCTTTCGTAGAGGACTTTCAAGGGTAATCTGGCTCGTATACATGCTCACAAGGTAAAGACGACGAAAGCGTCCAGGCAGCCAGACCATTCGTTAGTATTCAGAGACTTTACCACACGGCCACTGCTGGACCCTCTTCAAAGACAGATCACTATAAAACGCTTTGCTTTAGAAAAATATTTGTTTTAAGAAATCTACAGTGATTCTAAATGATGCCTTCAAATATTAACTTTTGTTTATTATCAAAAAATCTAAAAAATCTTGAATTTTTCTTAAATGATGAACTTACAAGTAGGAGAGGAAGATATAATTTTCAAAGCAAAATACTAATAAATAATGCTGGATAAATATAAATATAAATAAAATAAGTAATTAGACACCAATAAATAATGAAGGCTCAGCTTCGCCGGTGGTAATAAAAAGCAATTCAAGTAAAAATAACGGTAATGCTACGAGCATTCATTGCGAAAGTTGAGAAATAAAGTTCATTAATGTAAAAGTACATGAACTTGTTCCTGAACATACAGATAAAATAAGTTTTTAAAATCTTTGGGGAACAAAAGATACCATTTTTGCACTAAAATTTTAAGGTGATAACATTATGAGCGATTTTATATTCAATTAGATATTTTCCTTAAAGTGACATTTTCTTTTTGAAAATGGTTCCTATCTAGTTCTGATAGAAAAAAAAATTAAAAATACTAAATAATAGTTTAATACCTTTATAATAAATAAATAATAGTTTTATATCTTTATTAGCTAACCTGAGTATATAACTGGAGCTATATGCACAACAAATTTCAAAATGTTATGTACACTAATTTTGAAAATCTCATTTCAAGCTAAATTTATTAAATAACAACATCTTAGGACAAATTCGTATCAAAATTTCTATACCTGAATTGGTTTTTCAAAACATTCATAATTTAGTGAATTCTAAACGTAATCACTAAAAAATACTCTTAATAGAAAAACAACTCTTATTTGAGGATCAAGAACAAGATCAAGATGTCAAAATAAAATACAGACGTTTGAAATCACCTTTTCCAACCTTTATGAGCTTTTGATATTCGTGTAGTACTCTTTTAATTTCAAATAGGAATTAAATTCAAGTTAAATTCTGTTTTTTTATATAACTGAAAAATTCGACATGATTTGAATATATGGAATTGATATAGGGTGCAATTAAAATGTGTCAAATTTAAGTGTTCTTCACTTGTCTCCTTGAAGAATGAGAAATTTTGTGTTATGAAATTGTATTCGCAGAATCTTTTAAAGCTGCTCAAAATTCCAGATTGTAAATAAAGCTTTCATTTATTTGCATTTGTAACATTTAAAAATATATCGAAATTTCTGTGCAAATTAGAAGAATTTTTGAGAAGAACGTTTCTTGAAAAGGAGCAGTATGGAATAGGTATTAATTATATTCTTAATTCAGTTAATTAAATGTCTAGGTAACTATTGATTAAGAAGTTAAGATTCTAATTTCATTCAAGTCGTAAATTCGTAGCTTTAAAATTTCTTAGAATTTCTCTAGTTTTATTTTTTGATGCAGAAGTACAAATCAACTTCTATATTCTATTAGAAGTATCCGTAATAGAGAAATTACGTTCTTGATTTGCATCCCATTACGTAGCATTTATTATGCCAAAATACCCTAAATTTCTATAAAAATAGTATTTTCCAGTGTAAACTATAAGCAAACAAATAAAGGCTTCAGAAAAGTAATTAAAATACCTAAGAATGTAAATACAAATCAAACTTCTGCGAAATGTGATACTTATTAGACGAGTTTACGATTGCAATTAGGAATCTTTTTACACTTTTTTTAATCAAGCGCCCAGATAGGAAAGTGGTTACTATTCACTCTGACTGCTGTAACGAATGCCCGGATGTGAATACCGGAAGAGCCAGAGATATAAATTGTCTATCCCTTCATAAGAGGCAATGGTGTTCCCCCCCCTGTTAGGTGGCTCTGTAATAAAGTAACCACTGCTTCCAACCGCACTAGTGGCCAACGCTTGTAACGGTTAGTACTCGTTATTTGGAGGGGGGCGAGGAATCCCGAAAACTCGAAAACCGAAATCCCAAAAATAGATTTTATATTTTGTCCAAAGGGACTCTTTTACCTTTTAGTGTGTTAACTTTACGCCTTAAATATCATGTTATTTGCATTTAAACCACATAAACTTTAATCCAACAGCATTAGCACAAAATATTTAAAAACGGCATGTCTTTAGAATTTCCGATACGCAGTGTTTCTTTCCGTACAGTATTGCCATTGCTCGCTTTTAAATCGTTGAGTTTGTTAATCAAGAATTCGTTGAAATATGAAACCGATAATAAAACAAATTCAAAATTCAGGTTTCCAGGTGCCCATTTTCGGGTGCCCAGGTGCCTAATTCGGACGTTATTGAAAGTTTTATGGCTCTAGGTACCGCCGTTTCTTTACAGTGCGAAAAACATACATACATTCATGCAGATTCTTCATTATTTAATTTCTTTAATTATAATACAGGGCGATGATATTTGGTGGCAACAATTTTAAAGGTGATTCGCTGTTTATAGTGAAACGCCACATAATGCCGTTTTGAGACTAACAGCCCTTCTGGCCTGAAAAAAAAAACTTTTTTTAATTAACTTATCTTAATTTTCTCAGATTTACTGCTGTATTTTTCCCACAGATATTCCGTAAACAAATTTATTCTACAGCCGCTTTGTTTAATATTAATTAGATAACAAACATTAGAGTGTGGACTAATATGAAGGTACTTAGCTTTATTTTTTATTGCAAGTCATATCCAAAGAATGACTGACATGTGTTTGAAATATGTAAAATACATTAACTGATGTGAAATAACTAAAATTAAATAACGTAATTTATTCACACTTATGGTATTCTTCAAAATACCGTTAACTGTTGAGTTTTCTTAATTAATTTAAGAACCTTAACAGACTTAACCTATCTGTCAAAGATTCAAATGCATTTTTGCTTCCTGAGTAACAACTGAAAGGAAGAAGAAATAATTTAACAATGATATGAGTAATGCAGTAACGAATTACAGTTTAAGTTATTACATATCTTAAACATGTTTTGATATTTAAAAGATATATAATAACTCGTTGTTTCTATTTTCCTCATTTCCCTTCTGTAGTCAACTGTATGACATAACCAATAAAACAAATATGGGATCTTTACGTGTGTACATTTTGAATAACCAGTTATTTTATGATTTATACCTTTATTGTCACTTCTCTTCCCATTTCTCTACAAGAATGCGAATTAGTTCTAGAGAATATAAGGTGAGATTTTCGGACTATAAAATAAAGTGAGTTTCAGACTCTCGAGTCCATGTTATCGAGCAGATTTAGAGAGGTGAGATAAAATTGTATTATTAGACATATTATTAACGGCAGTTGCTGACATTTAAAATGTTACACCGGTGAGAAGTTTGAGCCAACTTTGCGTTAATTTATTCGTGTAGACCATAGTTATTAAACTTAGTTTTAATTCTAAATTTACAGTTACTTTAAATTACATTGTCACAAGTGGTTGGCTGATTTTTAAGCACGAATTGATGTTGCATATTTTGTTAGTTTCGTATAACAGGGCTTCACACGGCACGGCATTTTCTAGGAAGCTATCTACCGCGTTATAAAAGATACATCTATTAATTAAGTATAAAAAAACCGAATAACATGACGTTTGTGCTTCGTAATTGCTGCAAGATTTTATGCAAAAAGCAATTTATGCCCAAAAGCAAGATTTATGTAAAAGCAATTGTCTACAACGGAAATCAACTTTTAAGCATGAATCCCTCACAGCAAAAAGGGCAATTAGATTAAAATAGCCAGTATCATAAAAACATCTGTCAAGCGTCAGTAACTAAATCCCTAAAAAGTGTAAAATCTTAAAACTTCACCTAAAAACACGAAAAAAAAAGCAACAATTAAAAGGGTAGTTTATCACAAAATGATTCCAAATATAAACACTTTCATACTCAAATTATTCCCGGTAATTATTTAACTTCCAAATTTCAGTACGAGTAAAGCATATCATGTGCAAGGAAGAGATGAAATTGTAGCTCTGAGTAATGTAGCCGAGTTGCTGCTGGCAGCAACATTAATTTAACTACACGACCGCTTGTGTTGAAGATATCTATTCTGGATTCGAATTGCTTGGCGAAATGGCCAAAATTATGGAAAGTTGCAGACCCCACGTGAGGTCCGGATTTAAATCGCCTGGGAAAAAGAAGCATTTATTTTACTTCTAAGATTCCAAGAAATTGGAAAAGAAGACAAGGTGATATGTGCAAAGGGCAATTCGGCTCAACTTTTGAAGTGAAAAATTGAGGATTGCGCCAACCTCGCTGGATCACTTTTTTTTCTTTCTTTTTACCCTCCTCTGCTTAAAAGTGATGGTACGACCATGCTCTGAGACACATTCTGGCAGAGGAAGGAGGGGAGGAAATTATATATAAGCCCCCTTCTCCTCTTGGAATCTTCCATTATTCTGGAGTCCAGTAAATCGCCAAGGGAAAAGGGAAAAGGGCGCCAAAAAATACCAAAAAATATACGATTGCGTCTTTCAGAATACGGTCTAATCAATTACAGTCGTCGATTGCAGTTGAAAGAGAAAAATAAAAATAAGAAAGGGAGGTAAAAGAAGGATCGAGGGACTTTTTTTTCCAATTTTTTTATTCTTTTTCTTTCCAGTCTTATTCAGTCACTTTCCTTTTCTTCGACAGAGGGTGGCTGGAAAGGGAAAAAAATT